ATGATGCCGCGACTAAGTAGTGCTTGTGCTTGACTCTCCTGTCTAGGTGTGTCTGCTATTATTAAAAAGATCTATCAAACTATAAGGAGGAGAACCAGATAGTGGTGACTGTTTAAAGTCAAGTCCCTCATCAGCATTTTATTCAACATTACATCAAACGTTGTTGTTTAATCACCAACCCCTTTATGCTTTCTTCCTCCATTTCGGCCATTTGCTGTAATGACAAAAAAATCGACAGTCAAGTGTGTGTGGGAGACTCAAAACAGATATTCTTGTCCTCATATCACTGTTGTGTTCAACTAAACAGGCTCAGGGTTCATATTGAGTTAAATAAATACATATTTCTAATTTAAAATAAGTTCCTTCGCTCAAAAGGGTTCAGGGAACACTGGTCTAGGGTCTGTACCTCATCCTACAAACTGTCCATAAATAAGAGGACCATGACATATTGATGTATCCCTACCTCTAGGTATGATGGTGATTCGTGAACTGAGCGTGCTGTTCAACGTCCTGTTCAGCTCCTCCAGGGCTGAAATCATCTTCAGCATGTGGGCTTGTTTACCTGGACCGGCTGTGTCGTGGTTGTTCTTTGGTCTCACCGCTCGTGTGCCATGTGAGGTGAATGTCCTAGTGGTGGTTCTTGACGTCCCATCCACTCCGGCTGCTTTGGTACTCACAAGCCACTCCTTTAGATAGTGGCTCAGGTTTAGAGCTGAAGACTTCTCTGGTGCAGTTGATGCATGGGTGCGGCTGAATGGAAAATCTAGAGGTTTCACAGGATAGTTTAGTCAGTTTGAACCATTTTGTCTGTGTCAGAACCAGAATCATTGTAATCATGACCACTAGAGGGTCCACTTTGAAAACTCTTTGCAAGTATGTGAAGGGTCGAGGTTAGTCCTTATAAAAAATCTGTGGATTTAATTCACGGCTCAAGAACAATGCTGATGCACTGCTGTCATTGTTGGAAAAGACTCAAATAGAACTACAATTTTTAATGAGCATCAGTTGGGGATAACAAAGTGATGCAAACTTACTAAATGTGAGTAGTGAAAAACAAATGGTAGCAGATGAAAGCGCACTTTACGGCACTGAACGCATGCAAGAATTCAGGCCGTTAATTTGCTGACATCACATTCGTCCCTGCCTGTTCTTTGTCCCAGTGGTCTTTGAATGCACATGACCCTGCTGTCACACACATACATACACACAGTACACAAGGATTCCTACGCTTTGCAGCTTGTTGCTAAGGGCCCTTCAGCTGTAACATAAGAGCTGCATGTGTTTCATTTATGTGTATGTACGATGCAATGGACCTGTGTTTCTCACACATCCGTGCACATGATATCAATCTTTACCAATTCTTTATTTTTATTATTTGTTTAACCGAAAATCTAAATATCATGGTTTAAAAAAAATATCAATTCTATCAAGGTGAAATATTAAAGAAATGTTGAGGAATCATTAGTAGAAGCAAATAAGGAGACAGGTAAAACAAAAGTTAAAATTGATGATTGTGTCACCATTAATATTTACTCACCTCTGTCTGTCGGTGCTGTATCCACTCCCATCCCCAGAATCACCAACATCACCACAGTGACCTTCCTCACTGACTGTGGTCCACATCTTCTCAGCATCATGGCTAAAATGAAGCACTTGAAGAACAAAAATAATTGAATCTGTGATACGTAGGTGGATGAGAACAGCAGCCACAGTTAAAAACTCCTCTCAGAAGTTACAGTCACTCTCTTCCAGGATTTCCTTTTTATCCTCTGCCTCAACCTGTGTTATTCGACCTTCCTGCTAATGTCAGAGATCTTGCAGAGGGTTTGGAGTTTAGCCAAGGTGACTTTTTTGATATTCTTACAGCAGTATGTCTCGTCCTTTGCTGCCGCCTTGATTTCAAAGTCAACGAGAATCCTTTCTCGATGCAATAATGGTTTTATCCTTGTTTTTCTCAACCAGACACTGGTATTCGTCTACTTTATCTCAACGTCTTCCAGACGCCTTAACAGTCCAATATAGTATCCTTTTCATCTAGAAAATAAAGTTAGCCTCTGCTGTCATTTTTCTTGGATGCGCCTCTTGAAGAAGGCTTGTCAAGAATGCGTCAGATGTGTTCCTACCAATCGCACCCCTCCGAAGTCGCTTTTATAAGGCAGAATCCGACGACGCACATGTGACTGATTCGTCGGTCTTGACCAATGACCTGCGTCGAAGACATTCTCCTTCCCCGCCTCCAGATGGACCTGTGACATTTTGGGCAGTTTGGCGGCGAGCTTTGTGTGTTTGGAGTCAAATCTGTCTTTTTTTGTGAATGTGGTGTGTATTTAGGCCCGTATTTAACGTGTGCATGTTTTGTGTGTGACCCTGGCTGTACAAGCAGTGATAAGGTGGTTCTTAATATGTTTGCTCAGGGGCCACAGAGAGAGAAAGGCCCTCTGACGCATGAGGGCCTGGAGCCACACTGACGGCAACCCACACACACACACAAAGTGCACAAATGCAACAATCAAACAGAGAAAACGACATGGCAAACTCATGTACGTAAACACACACACACACACACACACACACATCGCGAATACGTGCACACAAAAAGAAGCGCGGTATGCACATCAAAGGGCACAGAAAGGCCGAGAAGTCGTGTCCAAAGGACAAAGGCCCAAGAAAAGGTTTTTGTCTTTTTACCCTGTTGTTCATCGTGACGACTTATGTCAGAGACAGGAAGTTGACAGAGTGAGCATTGAACGCCACCTCACAATGAACAACGTCACACATACAGTCACGTCCAAGGAAAGGAAAGCAAAATTTGACAAGACAAAATGCTGAACATGGCAATGAGTGAGAGGAAAATGAAGTGTGTGTGTGTGTGTGTGTGTGTGTGTGTGTGTTAATGTCAGTTGCTGGGTGAAGAGAATTTAGCTGAGGAACATCCACTCATTCATTACTGCTCTCTGTCTGTCTGTGGGGCTTTGACCCCAGTACATTCTGTGTGTGTGAGTGTATGTCTGAGTGTGTGTGTGTTTGTGTGTGAGAGACAGAGGAAAGGGGTTTATGTGTGGGAGTTTGAACTACTGTCTCGCACATCATATATATATTTCCTTCTTTGGATTTTATTTATTTAGATAGATAGATAGATAGATAGATAGATAGATAGATAGATAGATAGATAGATAGATAGATACTTGTGAAGAGGAGAATCGGACAAAGTTGACCAATAACAATTCAGCAGTTCATGACTTCTGTACAGCAAGAATGTGAAAAAAAAATAGATTCAATAAAATGCAAAAAAAAGGAAAAAAATAGAAAAATGCATGTCGACACTTAAATTATACAATGTTTTTTAAATTCAAAGGTCAGTGACAACGTTGTGTCACCCACGTCCAAACAGAGTAAAATTAAATATATACCCGTCTTCAAAAAGGGAACATTTAATTACAATTTTTTATGTTTTAAAAGTAACAAAGCTCAACAGTGTATACTGTACATTTTCTACTGGTACGTAAAGTGGACGGCACCTAAATCAACTTATTCTGTCGCCGACAGAGGGCAGTCTTCCTCTACACTGAGCTTTCGATCTGTACCTTGAAAATGCACTTTATTCTGACCTTATCGTGGTTCAAGGTATGTAGTATTATTTATTAAAAGTCAATTAACAGTATAATGTTAATGAAAAAAATACAAAAAACGGACAATTGATCAAAGGTTTGTTTAAATCCACAATTTAAAAAAAAGCCTCAGTTGCAAGCTGTGGACTAGATTTTCATTTATTGGCCTTAATAATAATATTATTGTTACTACTACTACTAATAATAATAATAATACACGTGCAGTCTACAGTTATTACTAGCTGCAGCTGTAATAAATAACTTAAACATTCAAGCAACAATACACCTTTTTTTCACAATTATAATGCATTATTGTGTCTGTGAAATAATCACTCTGAAGATTTTTGGGTTTTTTTAATCCAATTTTATAAACTGTGTTGGTTATAACAAAGCAGTTATAACAAATGACAACACTCCTAACCTTTTAACCTTCGGTGAGAGAAAAAAAAAGGTGGAAAAAGTGAGAAAAAGAGGAGGGAAGAGAAAAGGAGAGATGGGACGGAAAAAAGACAGTGAGCTGAGTGATGGAGAGGAAGAGGAGAGCACCCATGGGAGGGAGATGAAAGAGGGAGAGAAAACAGCGGAGGAAGAGGAGGATGAAGAAGGTCAGGGATGAGGAGGAATGGGAGAGAAAGAGAGAGGGTGAAGGAGAAAAGGGGACGACAGGAAGAGAGAGCCGGTGATGGCACAGATGTGTGTGTGTATGTGTGTGTGTGTCTGTGTGTTTATGTGTGTGGAAGAGTGAGAGAGAAAGAGAGTGATTTGTTTTCAGTGAAAGGTGAGGCCACTTAGCTGAGGCGTAGGGCTACAGCGGAATCTATTACCATGTGTCAAAGGAAACACGAGAAGGGCACGACCTGACCGTGTGTTTGTGTGTGCGCATGTGTGTGTGTAAAGGAGAAAGAGTTTGAGATTTTGTGCATGTTAGTGTCTGAGTGACAAGGAAAAATGAGAAAGAGATTAAAATATAGACTTTCAATACATGTCTGTTAATAAAAAGATATATATATATATATATATTTATAAATATTTATATGCCGTGTGTGTGTGTGTGTTTCACTATGCTTAATAACTGCGGGTATGATTTAGTTGCGTGTGGTTAGATGGAATCATTGGAATGATGGAAGGTTAGCTGTAGACCACAAACAGATTTGATTCACGTACATCAACAACAACAACTTCGATTGAATTTAAAAATTACTCAGTTAAAAAAACACAACTTGATTGTCTGATGACAAATACAAAAATTTGCTTCATTCTGACTCTAACTTTACAGTTATGAGGTTTTGTTGATGTTGGTAAGTTTCGATTCAAAGGTGGAAAAATCATTAGTGCTTTCACCTGAAATAGCTTAAAGCCTCTCTATACAGTAAAAAAATATTACTGCAGTATTATCATAATATGCATAAAATTCTTCCACTGTTTGTCAATACACTGCAGCTGTTGTTTGGGTGATGTCATATTTAGAACCAACATTTCCTTTTCTCTCACATCCAGGTGAATACTTGTCTTCTATTTTGTGTGAGAGTTTAAACATAAAATAAACGAAACTTTAAATTAAAATTTAAACCTGTCCAAAATGATGAACAGAAAAATCTAAAATAAAATTTAATTTGATTTTAGTTTTAATTAAAAAAAAGAAATCAGAATTTTTTAAAAAAACTACATGACAGGGTCAGTGTGTATTTGCGAGAAAAGAGCAGCTGAGAAAGATGTCAGTGACTGACGATGAGAGTCAAAGTGTGGGATATTAAAATAGGAAGTAATTTTAGTTAGGTGTGTGTGTTGTCGTGTCGGGGCTTAGGTGTGTGTGTGAGAGTGAGAGAGAGAGAGATAGAGGGAGTGAGAGATGCTTGGGATGTTGTCACTCTACACCTCATGGATTCTGTGGCTCACCAGAGGCCAGTGTGGTTCACTGGGGGCTGAAACACTCTAACCACACTCAGTGTGTGTGGATGTGTGTGTGTTTATGTGAGCCAAAGCCACAGGCCACTGGCCCTCCACTCCGCATGTATAACGAAATTTATTTGTGCCTGCAGTTGAGAGAGATGTAACCACAGACCTGGTTAAAAAAAAAAAATTCTATCAAAACTCAGCATTTCTGCCGTCTCAAAAAAAAAAAATTCTATCAAAACTCTTTTGAAACATTTTTGGAGAATTCTGTACACTGTTGAAAATGTTATGAAAACTGTATGAAATACTAGACTTAGAAGACAAAAGGATGGAAATATTATTTTTTTTCTCCCAGAAAATTTAATTTGTACGTGTTGAAAATAATCACATTTAGAATTTGATTGAAGGATCTTCAATATTCTTTCAATCTCTGGAAAAAAAAACTGCATAATTCATAAGCAAATACATGTTGGTCTGTTATGGAGAGAGCAATTCAACCAGTGTAGTTGTTCATGTTAAATGTTGTCTCTAACCTCTGAAACTAATATATGGCAAGTAAGGAGGTTCCTTAGCTGACCACTAGGGGCTGAACCTTGCAGGGTGATGCTCTCCCTTTTTAATACTGGGGTTAGAAATGTTAGAAATGAGCCAATCAGGTGAAATACTGAAAGTTTTTTTTCTTTTGCTGAACAGATAGGGACATGATAAGAACAAAAGCTTTCTTTAAACACAAAAGTCATACAACACAACTGTTTGAACGGACAGCACTGGAGCAGTGACTTCTGTGTGTGCAGATAGAAAATCACTCCATGGACTTTGGTTTATTGAATAGATGATTAGGTTTCTGAGTTGGTAAATGCTGTTTAAAAGCAAGATAAACCTTTTATTACCAATTATATTATTCACGTCTCCTATGTTTAAGAAAACATAGGTTTTATTTCATGGTTGCCTGTTTTATTCCCACATTTGAGTCTGGTTTTTCCGGGGCTGAGAAGACATTTGATGCAGTCGGTGATGACTTCATCAGTAGATCACACAACACAACATGAAAAACATTCAACCGCTTGTAAAGAAGGTTTGCTGGTTTTAAGTAAAGGAGTTTTGTCAGCTGAATGCCTCATTAGTGATTTATGCCG